CTCCGAGCACCCCGGGTCTGTCGCACCGCTTTCGCCCAGGCTCCCGCCGCCGCCGTGGTCACGAAGGAAAGTTTGGGCTAAGGCATTGAGATTCCCTTTCTGGCCACCGTCAGAGAGCAGGATCGCGACACCACCCACGCCCGGGCATCCTTCCCCGACGACTCCTCGCAGCTCTCCAAATCCGCTCCCCTTTGCTCCCGGCCCGCGGAGATCCCCCGCCGGGAGATGCGGGGCGTGCGGCGCAGCGCCGCCCGACGAAGCCGGAAGGGAAGGGCGCGTCAAGCTCGCGGGGGTGGCGCGGCCGTCGGCGCCCTGGGGGCCAAGCCTCGACTCCTCTGGGCGGCAGTCCAGCGGTCCCGGAGGAAGCGCCGAGCCGGACCAGCGCCCGCCGCCAACCCGATCCGACTCCCGTTCGCCCGGGCGCGGCGGCGCGCGGCTCCTGCACCGGCGCGGCGCGCGGCAGCGCGGTCTTCTGAAGCCCTCTCCAGGTTTCCTTCGCGAAGCGCAGAGGAGGGGAGATCGCCGCTCTCCCCGCCGACCCCAGGCTGGCGAGAGCGTCGGAGCAGCGGAAATACGTACTGGAGGAACTCGGGAAGCCAGGGAAGTTTGGGCGGTTTGCTCCGTGGGGCGGCGGAGAGATTCCCTGCAGTGCGCTGCCCTCTGCTGGCGTTTCCCGTTTTCCCTGCGTGCACAGCTGTTCTAGCCTGTGGGTTTCCCTGACTGCAACTTTTCACTCATCGTTCGTTCGCCTGCGAACGCTGATGGTTTCAAACTGCTGATCTGGAGGTTAGCAGCCCAGTGCATAAGCACCACGCCAGCAGGGCTCCTTAGCCCTGCCCGCCACCCCACCCCCCCACCTTCCCAAACCATAGTCCAAAGCAATGGTCCCTTAAACAGTTCTTTGCAGGGTTAATGTGTGCATGAGGTATTCGTGGCCCTCTATGGGTTGAGCTATACCGTGGTTTGTGAAATACAGTGTGATTCAGGGGGAGGCTTTCAGAGCGACAGTAATATTTATTGAGCTCTAAAAACAGCGGCTGCACCAATCGGCTCCAACGTAATCATGGTGAGGATGACTGTAGGACCAAGCGGTAGATGCTCTGTTGTTCGCAGGGTCACTCTGAGTTGACTGGAGGGTCCGGAACAGCAGCAACAAACACTAAGAATGTGGCGATGCACTCATTTGCTCTAGCCTCGGACCAGCCAGGTAAGCCTCATTGTACAAATGAAGGAGAAGCTCAAACTTATGTAGGCTGAAATTTGTTAATTTTTGCATCCCCAGAACGTAAAATGTAGAAACGTCCACATCCTGTTCGAATTTAAGTTTCCTATGTGACATATCTTTCATACTGTAATATCTCAACTGCTTAACACGGTGACAGCCCCACCACACTCACTGCGGTAGAATTGATTCTGGTCACAGTGACCCTACAGGACAAAATAGGCCAGCTCCGGAGGATTTCACAGGCTGTAAATCTTTAGAGATGCAGACTGCTCCATTTTTTCCTGATTAAGGGGATAGCCAACCTTGTGGCTAGCAGCCCAACGAAGAACCCACAGTGCCACCAGGGCTCTGTCTGACCCATAGTAGGTACTCACTGAATGCCTTCACTAATGGAAGAATGTCTCAGCTTCACCACCTAGTGGTCATTTAAACCCAGAGCTTGGTATCTCAAAACCAGAGTTTCTGAGCCCAGGTTGCATTACCAAGCCCCCAACCAGCTCTTGTTGGAAGCAATTGGCTTTCCAAGTCTGCTTGGAACACAGGACATCACTCACTGGTGTGGCTTTGTATGTGTGTTGTTCACGCCAAGACTGGCAGAGGTGTCAGCTGGAAAGCATTTCTGAGCTATCTGGGACCCCAGAAACCTGAAGCTAGATTCCCACAAGATCCAGAAGTGCCTGGAATTACTTTCACATTCTCTACCCTTTTACTCTTTGACTCTCACTAGGGAACAGTCTCAATAGAGGACGCAGCATGCTTGATTCAAAAGCAGGCAGGACAGATGCAAGACCCACAGGGAGAGAGGAGACGGGACCCTCAGGCAGAGGGAGGGCTCCCCAAAAGCAGGGATTGCTTGTGATTAAATGTTTTGGGTGTTTTCGGTTTCAGCTTCAGCTAACAACCAAACAGGCCCCCTACCATCAAATCAGAGTAACCCTATGTAGTTTGTGAAATGCTACATATTTTTATATGTAGCATCATCGTTCTTCCACCAAAGAGCTACTGGGTTTAAACCACCAACACTGAGGTTAGCACTCCAACCCCTAGCCCAAAACTTTAGTTAGGTTATGTAAATGAAAGAGTATATGAGTATTATAAGAACAAGGGACATCTCCTAGCACCCTGAGCTCAGAGCCAGGTTAATGTAGTTGGGATCCCAATGTGTCTGGCTCTTCCTTCTTCTCTCTGTGATGACATTGACCTTCCCTCTCTTCCATCAACTGCCTCTGCTTCTCAGCCCTCATGGCAGGAAACATGGTCAACCTCCCAAGTATTTCATCCAGCCATTTCAGTCACTGGTAAAAGACTCCTCCGATCTTGTCACCTGCTGAAAAAATTTAAGACCTAATTACCCTACTCGGTTCAGATGCATTTCTTGATCGATATGTGTTGACTATTGGAATCAGGTCATCTACAACCTAGCAGCACCCTCAGGAATCATAGCAGAACCAAAACAGAAGGATGGATGGATGGATAGATAGATAGATAAACATTGCCATCAAGTTAATTCTGACTCAGTGACCCTATAGGACAAAGTAAGCTTTTCAAGATTATAATATTTTTGTTTGTTGTTATTAATTTTGATAAATCATTTTATTGGGGGCTCTTAGACCTCTTATAACAATCCATGCATCCATTGTATCAAGCACATTTGTACATAGGTTGGCATCATCATTTCCAAAACATTTTATTTCTACTTGCGATCTTGGTATCAGCTCCTCTTTTTATCCTCCCCCATGCTCCCACCCTCATGAACTCTTGATAATTTATAAATTATTTTACTTTCATATTTTACACCATCTGCTGTCTCCCTTTACCCGTGTTTCTGTTGTTTGTCCTCTTCCACCCCCTGGGAGGGGGGAAGTTGTATGTGCATCATTGCAATCCACTCTCCTTTCTCCCCCCACCTTCCCCCAACCCTCATGCTACCAATACTCTAATGATTTGTCCTGAGGCCATTATCTGTCCTGGATTCTGTGTGCTTAGAGTGCTTATCTGTACCAGTGTACATGATCTGGTCTAGCCAGAATTGTAAGATAGAACTGGGGTCATGATAGTGGGGGAGGAAGCATTAAAGAACTAGAGGAATGTTGTATGTTTCGTGGGTGCTATATAGCACCCTGGCTAGCTCATCCCTTCCTTGTGACCCTTCTATGAGGCGATGTCCAATTGTCTACAGATGGGCTTTGGGTCTGCATTCTGACTCC